CTTTTCTGAGGGGTCGATTTCTGACAAGAAAGTAAGGCTATAGGCTTAGAAAAATCATCGAGTTTTTCCAAAAAAATTTTCATTAAAAAACATCTTGATTCTCATCGATATGAGAAGAAAGTATAATAATTTTATTGGGTTTAGGAATTAAAATAGTATTTTTGAAAAAAATAACGACTTTTCTGAGGGGTCAATTTCTGACAAGAAAGTGAAGCTAGAAAAATCATCTTAGAAAAATCATCGATATTTTACGAAAAACTTTTCTTCGAAAAGCAGCTTGATTCGCTTCTATTTGATCAAAAAGTACTAGAATTTAATTAGGTTTTGGAAGTAAAATCGTTTTTTCGTAAAAAAACGTTTTTTGAAGCAGTGCATTTTTTATAAAAAGTAAGGCTATAGGCTTAGAAAGATAAGGTTCACGCTTGTCTACTTGCATTCCTGAAGAAGCTTGCCCAGTATAGGTAGTTTTGTTTTGACACATGGGAGACTGTACCAAAATATTTGACAAAATATAAGAATAAGAGTATTGTGGCCGGGGGCCAAACGCTAATCAAATGAAATTGAACCAGAGTTCGTTTTACGAGGAATATTGTAGAATAACTTGCATTGTATTATTCACATTTGGATGTTAAGGTTCGCGATTTCCTTTTTGCATTAAGCCTTTATGTACTGCTTTTGATGACTTTGGGAATGATTAACAAATAGGAGCGCTGTAAATTTTCGTTGTCCATTGACTCAGATGAGTATCTAAGTGCTTTGGATGCTACGTTTTTGGGCTTATCGTGACTCTTTCTTCTTACCTCCCTTCCCTTTTGGTATAAAGCGTAGAGTGTATTTTGGAATCCTTGATATTTTTATTGATCTCTTAGGACCTATTGCTTATATATCTCACATGATTCTTTTTACAATCTTTATGTTTTCATTCAGGATAGACTCGGCTGATAATGTTAGTTATGTTTCTCTTCCTCTCTTGTACCTTAGATATCTAATATATGACTGTTGCATCGGCTCTTTGGTGAAAAAAAGTGAAATTTTCTTGTCTATTCCCTGCCCATAATTTTGAGTTGCTTTGTGACTTTATTCCATTAAATTATGAATAAGGTTCCGGGTTCTAGACAGGTAGGCAGAGTGACTTGCGCTGTTGCACCAGCGGGCATTTGTCGCCTCCTACGATGAGGGAATGTACCCTCAAAACCTGAAATAATGAGAGATACGGCAATGTCTTCTGAGGGAGCTATATTATTCATTTTCCTGTTTTCTCTGAGTATAATTCGTCCATTTTAAACCCAGCGGGGTAATTTAGATGTGAAATTCAAGAGAGGATATTGCTGCACAGGTTATTGCACATAATATGCTGTCAAAAATTGAAATTACTGTTATACCGGTCTCTCATGAAGTGGCCGTTACTTTATAGGCAGAGCTGTACACAGGGACGGATTTGGCGGAGGGGTGGGGGGGGTTTGGGGGTGCGACATTTCTGTCTTTTTCGGTAAATTTGATTCCATTCGGTAAAAATCATTTTTTGGTAGTCAGCAGTAACAAATTAACGCCAAGGTTTTACTTCATTTATCTTCTTAATATTAGTATATATCTTCTTATCAGTAGCGTAGCGGGGGGAGGCAAGGGGAGCGGCCGCTCAGAAAGTCGGTGTCTGAAAAAAATTCAATCAGCAATAGAATTAGTACCTTAAAAGGGGGACTTTATATTTCAGACAATATTAAAACGTTTTTAAAGACTGCAAATGACTGTAAGAAATATTCTAAAATGCATATCAAGATCAAATGCGGTTTTAAGATAAAATATCAAGATAAAAGACGACGCTGTAGGGCGTTGTCGCAAAAATTTTCTGCTCGCTTCGCTCACACAAGGAACCGCTTTTATAACTCTACAGAATATTCAACAATTTATCCCACGTTTTAGGATTTAAATAGAAGTCCTTCACGTTCTTAAGACAATCCCGATAAAATAGAAACTAAAATGCTAAAGCGCTTCAATCCTTAAAAAAATTGGATTCTGAAATGCTTGTCGGGGATTTTGCTCCAATGAGAACGGAATTAGTTTTAAACATTTGAATACTTTTTGTTATTTTTAGATATTTGATAACAACTTTGGAAAATCAGTTTTTACACGTAGAGCTTCCTCGCCTTACACAATTCAGAATGTAAACGTTAGATGAATTGTCAAGAAAATAGGCAGTTGTAGAATGGGGTCAGCCACAAAAAGCCAGATATGACTTTTTATAAAACGAAATTGCCACGTAAAAAAGCAATAGCTTTTCCAAACGCTTTTACAAAATGGGGTGTTTTCCCAAATTCTTAAGGATGTGGTCAGCAAAAAATGTTCGCCTCTTTGCCCCTCCAATTTTCCAACCCTGGCTATGCCACTGGTTCTTATAGTCTTTACCTTAAAATTAAAAACGGAATTTTAAAAATGGGCGTTTCCATAATTTACTAGTCACCTGAAGAATGTGGCACCAAAATTAGTATCTAACACCCCGCAATCATTGTTGCTTAAATCTGCCCCTGGCTGTACATGCTCATTTTTAGCTGAAAAAGCCCTCATAAATCCCTGTGAGAGGCGATTGGCATTACTCAGTGAAAATAGTCCATCCTCTCTTTTCTTCTCTACATAAAATTCAGAATATTAGTCCAATGCAAGGATCAACTCACCATTCATTGAGGGTTCAACCTTATGTTTTGGCACAGTGGACTAACATTTCTTGCCAGAAAACAGTGTCAGTTAATTGGCCAGTATACAAATTGTCTTATCATCAATTTTTTGCATTATTTTCTTTTTAAAATATGCTGTATGCATAATTTTTACCCAATAATAAAAGAACTACAAAATAGGATAATATATCTGAAGATTAACTACAGATATTTCTTTAAACTAATTTAAATACAGTAATCATGCATTTTTTCAAAACACTGGGCATAAAGGTAAAGATAACAAAGGAACAGTATAAAACTCAAATAAACTAGAGGTTAGCTCCTAAAGACATTATTTCTTCCCTCCATTTCTCTCTGTTATGAACACTTGCATCATAAAATGCAAACACAAGGCAAACGTCAGCCCAGCCAGCGCTTTCCCTATCAGTGCCAAAGCAAGGTGAAAAATCTGAGCAACCATCAGGAATAAGCAAGATCTTGCTCAGCTCACCAGAAATGTCACTCCTCTTTTGTAAAGAGTAAAGCAGAAAGAAAATAGACAATCCAGCTAGCATCAAAAGTATAACTAAATTGAGAACAATAAGCAGAAAGGTTAATCTGGCAGAGCTTAAATTGCAAAACAAAAGTAGAAGTATTTGATCACTGTCATCTGCCAAAGTAGCTTTGTATGCTATATTTTGTGCTCCCCACAAGTTAAACCAATTAGAAATTGGAAGAAATAATGAAAATGCCACTGACGAAAAGAACACAATTGCAAAACACTTCAAGTAGTACAATTTACAAATTGAACTGTGTTCTTCAAATATGAACTTCCACTTTGCATATGCCTGTACCTTGTAATATACTGTATTAAAATCTCTTTGTTCTTGGAAAGCATGTTTTGTCTTCTCGCATTCCTGAAGAAGCTTACTCAGTGCAGCTAATTTTGTTTTGACACACGGGAGACTGTACCAAAACATTTGACAAGAGAATAACAAAATCCATTGGAAAAACGCTAACGATGGAAAACGTACAAGATACCCGCTGTAAACTTCCAAGGCGCATTTCTCAGAAAAATATCTAGCATAGAAGGTGTTCCAAAATGTAATGTTTGTAAGGGGTTGGGCCATACAGGCTACACCAAAGGAGGTTTCTTGCAAGACAAATCTCCATGATACCAAAACAATTATAAAGAGGCTATGTATAAGATAATCAATAATGTATTCCCACCATGGTTTGAATCTCTTTGTTGTGCCTTTTTGTGATAGATACGAGACTGCTTGGCCAACACTGAGCATTTGTTACCAGTGCAGACTGAAAAGAAACAAATTAATCTTCTTAATTTTAATGGAAAAGGATTAGCTTATGATTGACTTCTAAAAATTTATGTAGCTTCTGTGGTACAGTGGATAATTTAGTGTTGATTTTAGGATATGTACTGTTGCCCATATGGGTCATGCCAAAAAAATAAATAAAAATCACAAAAACAGTTGTTGCAAGGTTATTCCAAAAGTTTTAAAAATCTCTTGGTCTCACTGCAGAAGTAACACAAGGTGCATGATGTCCCTGGCAGCTTTCATGATAGAACAAAGCTTCTTTTTCAGTTAAATCAAGGCTTGGCATACACCTCAAATGTGGTTCTAAATGTCATGCAACAAAATAAAGCCTACACAGCGTAAAATCATTCATTAAAACAAAATAAAGTTATGTTAATACAATTTACGCCCACATTCTCAGCAACCAGTTATGTACACTGGAAATATTTATATCCAGATGATTTATATTCAAAGGTATGGTGAGAACTTATACCTATGTAAGGACATTTTCTCAGGAGAGAGAGAGGATATTTATCAAAATAGACTTTTATTTTTGTTCCCCAAAATTTACTTCTTCGGGTTTGTTCACGTTTGACCATCTTCTAATTTTAAAGCCTTTAATTGTCTTGACAACCCATTCTCACTGGACTTTGAAAGTAAGTTCAAACATAGTCATAAGAAAATTGTTCAAACAGGACCATAGCATACAAACATAAAATGAGTAGATCTAGGCAGATAATGTAGGCAGTAGGCTGTGTGTAAATGAAAATCCTATATTGTACTCTCTTCTTGAACAGATCCGAATGAATGAATTTTGGAGGTTATAAAACAAACTAAAAAACGTTATGTTGCTATACTTACACTCCTAACAAAAAGATAAACTGGCTCCTTTCACAGATAAACTGACTCCTAGCAAAAAGATAAACTGACTCCTTTAAGACATCCTCTCGGAAAGAAAATTTAGCTGGCCCAATTTTGACATCCTCTCTCCAAACAAAATAGGCGTGTAAAGGGCGCGTTTCAAATAACCCTCTTAACCTCGTTTTCAAATCGAATAATAACACCTGCAGAGGCTCGACCGGCCGGCGAAATGGAAACTGTTGCAGGACTTGGCAAAGAAAACTTCTTTAAACGACATACAAAGACAGATTTATAAGGTTGGATTAGCGTTATGTTTTGTAAAAGTTATTCAAGAATTGTTTGCTACCTCAAAAATGATGTTTGGGTGAAGAACTTTCAGGATATTCACATCTTTCTTTTCATATTCACATTCTTTTAGGATATCGAACAATTTTTAACTGGTTTACTAGGTATGCAGAGTTTTGCTGTTGGGTCGAGACTACTTTATTCTGTTTTGACTTTTATCAGAAGGAAATCTTAGTTTTTTACCTTTATCAAATTAACATAAGTAATAAACAGATATAGACGTCGTCACTACGAGAAAAGTGTGGGAACGAAAAACTGTGTCACCGGTTGTCATATGTGCAATTTTGGACAGGGCAAAGTCAGCTGGGAATATTATCCTCCGCCACCCTCAAATGACTATCATCTTATATAAAAGCTTTTAAAAGCTTAATAAAGCTTGTAAATCGAGACCTATAAATCATCATGTTTACATTTCAAGGTAATAGCCATTTTAATTGATATATGATTATTAATAATGACTTATAATTTTATTAAAAGAAGAGCACCACGCCCATAATTTACACAATTCTAGCATACAATGTGTACCTTCATTTCACACATGCTTGGTCACCCTTTCCCCATACTCCCGTTGGGATCCTCCCGTTGGGATCCTCCCGTTACCAATTATTTCTGAATTGCTGGATAAACAAATCAAGATTTTTGCTAACTTCAGCAGGCCTAACTAATTTTAGAAGCTCATTTCAAACTCTTTAAATTCACCATTTCTTTTCTGGGCAATATTGCCCCAAACATTAATTGTAACTGGGTTTAACTTTGACGGGGTCTTACTATGCAATTTCTTTAACAAATGCATTTTCTGCCACCTGGCTTTGTTGCGCCTTTAGACAGCACAACAAATTTTGATATTGGCCAAGGCAGTTAAGGTTGTAACGACGATGTCTCTGTTGTTGATTTCAAGCATAAAACTCCTGCATTTGCTCCGTAGTGTTACCAAAGACAAGAGCATAGCTTCTCGTTCGAATTGAAAGCAAAGGAAAACGATCGGTTAAAAACATTCGATTTGACGCCACTAATTCTATCCTTACCTTTAAAGCTCGTTCTTCGTTATACGTTGTTGTTCACGTAGGAAATATGCTGAATGTTTATGAAGTTTTATTTTTAAATGTACAGAGCTGCCTTTTGGTGGGATCAAATTAATGCTTGGAAAATGCATTCATTTTGCAACATAACAATGCACTTTAATAGAAATATAATCTGCATTTTCGATGTCCTTCCTTGGTCTTCACAAAGACCCTCCTAGACCCTTCTCTGACGTAATCGAAAATTTCTATCTGCGAATAAAAAACAAAATGATCTATGATCCGCAAGGTCGCCTGATACCAAAGCATAACTTTGGCGAATTTTTGTCAAAAATCTTAACGTTTTCAAAGTCACTTTTGACACCTATCAAAGCCAGATGTCAAACGTTTTGTCTACTATTATTTTAGAACTTCGAGAAATTAAAAGCAATACTGGAAGTTACTCTCCATTCACTTGCTATCTTATCAATTATCATTCACAATATACATATTTGAATCGCTGTCATGTAAAAAAAAGCTAAATTATCAGAAATTACTTTGATCAAAAAGAAAAACATAAAAAAGTTCAAGCCACAAATACTCGCTATCTCATTTGCAACATAATAAATCATTGTTTTGGCTTCTTGCAGTGCTAGGCAGCTAGAAAAAGAAGCTTGACATGTCTTCATTTATAACAATTTAATGCTTTTTGTCGGTTCGGTAAACTGGACTTGAAGTGCAATAGTTTGAAATAGTAGCTTTGTAAGGAATTATTTTTGTTTAAACCTTTGAATAATTTTCTAGGTCACTCTACTCCTAAAGCTCTTGTGCTGAGGGGGCATTCATCTCCAAAGAAGTTCACAAGATATTTGGAATTAAAATTATCCTTTGATTTTCGCAGTTCGACAATTTTGATACTTCCGGCATATATTTACTATATACAACGATTCAATGGCTTTATAGAGGCTAAACCAATAAATACATATTATACATCACCAGCTTTTACTGCTAACTTAGCAGAACATTTTTCAGAACATCTAGTGTTTCTTGTGGTAATCCAGAAGTTTGCTTGTTCTGAAGCAGTAGGCGAAACGAGATTAAGGGGCGAATCGAAACGAGACTTTGAAGTGAGGCAGGAAAATATTTAATACGAAAGGGGTTTAAGATATATATTTATCTTTGTTTGGCTTTGTGTGGTTATCATTAAATAGTTGAAGTGGTTCTTCCACTTATCAGAATTTGAGGGTACTTAAACGTAAACGATTTAAAGAAAAACCGTACATATCTGAGCAACTTTCCGTTGCCAAATCTAAACAAATCCCACTCCATGATTAAACAGTATCTTTATCAGACAACAACAGGTAAAATGACATGAATGCGCGTTGAAATGAGCGGAGTTAACGTTAAAATGTTCTAAATTTAAACGTGTGAAGTACCCACTGTATGTTAACCAATTTGGCGAATTGAGAATTTTCAGGCGAAAATTCCTTAAAAACGTACTTAACCATCGAAGTGAAATAAATTAGAAATATGGCCTCATGGATCATGAATCGTTTGCCAACGAACACATTCGACAATTTTCAGGTAGGGGCTTTGTGAAGGGCAAGGAAGGTCATCAAGCTTACAGATATGCAGTTAAAATTTTTGTAAAAATTGACGAAACTCCGAGTTTCACGCTTAAGGCAACTATTGCAGTGCCAGCCCTATACGTTAGATTTGCCTTTTTCGATTCTTTATCAGCGGGTTGCAAATTTCTTTGTTTTTTCGTATACTATTAATAGAAAATTCATCATTAAACTCTATCTTGTATTGCATTAAGAAGAATGAAATGTGCAGTAGCTGCTCTATTTTGTTGAAAGTGATGAAATTAGATAGCATTTTGCCAAAAGTAGTTTCATCTGACAAATTCCAATATGATACATGTTTATTAGCTGGAATTACAATTTTAAGTTAAGGGACTAAGCTTTTTACGATTCAATAGAATCTATTTTTTCATATTTCTGATACGAAGTGAAAAGTTATCAAATTCAAACCCATTGTTTCTTTAAAGGTACTTGAGCTCATCCTGGCTCAGCAACCATGATTACTCTAACCGACGCTCAGAGGTTCTCCGAAGAGAGTCCAGCAATCAAAAGCTTTAAACCATGGTGGGAAATTTTAATCGACCATATGCTACTGGCTTCATTGCTGATATGCTTGCTGGCATGGGCACGAGTGACGTCAACAGAGGCATCTGGTCTCGTTTGTGTACCTCTTATGAGCAACATCAGCTACGGTTATACAGAATTCCGCTACGCCAACTCACGCTGCTCACAAGAGTTTGCAACAAAGCTTATTCTCTATTACCCATATCTACTTCTGTTCCAATGGATTGTCACTTTCTTGGTGCAAAAAGCATGGCTAAAAGTCCCTGTCGTCGTGACGAAGCTTGATGCTTTCCACGATATATTTTGTCAAATGTGCTCTATTACGCCGACGTTCATACGAAACAAGAGGAGTTATCAAATGCTACCTGAGCTCACATTTGAAGGTGAAAATTTCGATCAAGTGAAAGTTCTGCACGACAAGCTGATGTTCTTGCTCACCGAGATGAGTTACTTACTAAGAATCTATCGAGCAAAGATTTTTATTCTTCTAGCTATAAGCTTTGTCTTTGCAACTGGCTTGGTGATATGGTTATACGTAATAAACATACCTAAAGCTGACATCAAATGTGATTTAGAGGGAGACAAAACAGCCCATGAATTCAAAAGTCTGATCTGCAATTTCTCATCGGCATTTTTTCTCTACAGCGCTATGTGCCTTAATCTTATTATGCTGTGTCTGGTGATAGTTTTTAGCTCCTATGGTCTTTTCTGGTCTTTCCGGCAAAAATCATTTGCGGAGCATACCGGCATTTTCGGTCAAATGATCGACTTATACACAGGGTTACCAGGTTTCAATGATTTGCAGTTCTGTATGTCGCTTGTAAGGAGCAATGTCCGTGACGGTAACCTTATGTTCGAGACCATCAAATCATGCTTGAGACAGCAGGCCTACCAACTTGACGAGAAAAACAACATAAGGGCTAAAGCAGATCGAGCACGTGACTTTGGGCAGGAGCACGGTATTGTAAAGCTGATAGCCCAACAACTTGGTCTTCAATTGATTAACAACAGGCAAGATGCGAACCATCTTTTTGGTTGCCTTGCCTACATACGAAGTTGTCTTAGTCACGTGGAGCTAGAAATTTCATCTGAACTCAGGGACAGGCTGGCTGACGAGATACAACGAAATCCTCTACACTTCAAGTCTACGATTGATAATGATACAAAAGAAGGTACGTACGACCAAGTAATCGAAGAGATGCGCTTGCCGTTCACTTTTGGTAACCAGTACGCTGTAGCGGCAGCTTCAAATGTCTTTAAAGTCCGCATTGTGGTTATACACTGTCAAAGTACGAGTGAGTACCGCGAGGTTTTTGAGCCGTTTGCTGGGAATCAGTCACGTGGTACGTTTTTCCTCACCTTTACTGGCAAACATTACTATCATTCTACTGAAAAAATACACAAAGCAGATGACGATTTCGAGAGATTTGTGCAAGCAAGAGTGCGATTCGCACAAGATGATAAGTACAGGAACTCAATCCGCCAATCCGCATCAAGATCAATTGAGCGCAGCGATGAGGGTGAATCGACACAAGATAAAATTTCTGCCATTCCGGAATCAACAAATCAAGTCATGACATCTGAAAGTTTCACGAAATCACTAGACTTTGATCAAGACCGCATCGATGGAGCTGAAAATGGTATCAATCTTCTACAACGGTACAAACGAAGGTTTGGGATGTTCAGAGATGACAAAGTTGTTTTCAATGTGTGAAAGACTGGATCATTAACATTATAATAGCTTCATGTTCACACTCTTCTCTGTTTATCCCTTCCATTTATGGCTTGTTTGGGATAGTTCCCTTTTATAAGGAGAGACAACCTGAGACAGCTCCCCTTTTTAGGAAAAGACAACCTGAGACAGTTTCCTTATATAAGAAGAGACAACCTAAAACCGCTTCCTTTCTTAAGAAGCGAAACCTGAGACGGCTCCCTTTTGCAGAAGAGACAACATGAGATAGTTCCCTTGTAAAAGCAGGGATTATCTGAGACCGCTTCCTTTTATAAGCAAGGACAATCTGAGACAGCCCCCTTTTTTTAAGAAAAGACAACCTGAGACAGTTCCCTCATATTAGCAGGAATAATTTGAGACAGTTCCCTTTCATAAGAAGAAGTAGCCTGAGACGGCTCCCTGAGACAGCTCCTTGTTTTTGGAGGTTTTGCCCCCCCCCTCACCTGAAAAATGAATTTCCGCCTCGGTGTTTCACAAACCAACACAGGATTCAGCCAAAATTAACATCGAATACAATTTAGGTATTAAGACTTATCCATTTATCGTGTAATCGAAAACCCGGCAAACCTAGTACATGTTTAATGAAGGTTGGTGGAGAGAGGAAAGACGTACTCAGTAAAGCAACCCCTTGTGTTCTTTATTGTTTTAAAACATACATCTATTGACCTACTTCATAAACAAAGACAAAACCTTAAATTTGGATAAAGAAAAATGAAATATCATTATGAAATAGTCCTTGTTGTGATAAAATGGTCGATTCCAACCAAGCCAGGCAGAACTTTAGCTAAAGTGAACTGTAGCTAACTGATTTGGCCGATACAAAGGATTTTCTAGAGGAGACACAACGTTTTAACTCTTGTCGTTACCAACTGTTGTTTCAGCTGTCTACAGTGTTGTTTCAGACGCTATACTCCAAATTTAAAATTATAAAAGCAAATTCTAAAAAAGCCAGACTGTGTTGAATCTTGTCTTAAAAAGTCACAATGTGTTGACTCTTGTCTTTATCAACGTTTAAGACTTTCTGCCTCATCTCATTGCCCCATTTTGATCCACTGTGAATTCTGTTATCCACCTGTAATACAATCTAATAGAAGGAAAGCCGTTGTAAATATATAGATATAGAGCTATTCAGAGACATATACAAGAGAAAACGCACTGTATTCTAAAAAGCTATCAAATATCCTATGCAGTGAATCTTAAATATCTACAAGATTGTTAAATTTACATAAAGATCAAGGTCTTATTCCAATAAATAAAGGATACTTTTGGTCCACATCTATCCAGGGACAGAGCAGTGATAAAAGCCAAAACCATGTAAGCATTACATCAACGGGGTTATCTTGAAAAAGTGAAGTATTAGAAAATACAGCAAGGCAACATGCAAGAATGAATTTCGAAGTTTAGCTATATTTCCTAATTTTTCACTTTCCTTTGAAGATTTTGCTGGTCAATTCAGCAAAATATGGATAGAAGTTGAAAGGTTTCCCTAAGAGTCTCGCAATGTCTTATATCGTTCAAAATTTGGCAATGCAAAAGAGCTGTAATATGCGGGGAGTCATGGTCAAGGCACCAGACCGAAATTCAGACTGATTTATTTTTCTAACAAAATGTTGAATAGAAATATTGAAGAAAGAGAAGAATCAATTGCTTAACTCATTGTGTGGCTTCATTATGTATAATTATGCATTCATCGATGGCTAAACATGAATCCACCACTTTCTCAGACCTGTTCTCAAGCTAACCTAACAAGGGACTGCCTGAGTGACTAAGATAGAGAAGAAAATGTAAAATCTAAAGCAGAAAGCTATATTGTTTCTCTTTTTCTTTTAAGAATAGCAAATTTTATAGTGACATAAATTCTTATAAACGCTTTCAAGCACAAGAAACGAGAAAAAAGTTGCTAAGGACCACTTAATCAATTTGTCAATGATATATTTATGCTTACGGCTAAGATCGTTGAGCACCAGTGCTTGGCATGTCAAGTCTATATTTTGTATAACTACATTATTCACATTAGTAACATAATTCAAACTAGTAAAAAATAATATACAATACTAAATGTAAATTTTATCAACAGTTAAAAATCTTAAGAGTATGCCTAAAATGAGGGAGGTTTACTGGTTTTTTGAAAACCAAAGTGATTTCAGTAGTCTGTTAATTGGGCTTGGAACGTGAACATCTCTGTTCCTCACTCCACTGTTAACGAGAGTCATGATTTGCTGAAACTCCATTTCCTCTGCAAACTCATTTAGAGCCTTGCAAAGCTCATCGAAGTATATCGACACACACGTGTCATCGTCGATCTTTTCCCTGTATGCTTGGAAGCCTACGAAATTTGTGCATATTGTGATATGATATGCTGTAAGAGAGCTAAGATAAACATAATATTTCTATCTTTTGAGAAACATAAACATATTATGTCATAATAGTCTGTAACGGTTTGGATTGTATATTTATTCAATTTAGTAATGTTCCCGTTGCGTGTTAAAGTCACATGTTCTGTTAAGTCCTGTTGTGTTAGTGAACGCCTTTTTATGGCAATGTGTTTGTCCTGTTAATTAGTTTCCGTTTATGTTATTAGTATGTATTGATCACGATATAAATTAGTCTTTCTGTTGAATCACTAGAGTTAAGATCAAAGAAAGAGTATCTTTTGTGCGTTACTTGTTCGGGGCTTAGGCCCTTTGGCCTAGTCCATCGCCCCACCAACGAGCTAGTTATCAACTGGTTCTTCACCGTCATAACAAGAACCCTTATCGTTACAGGTCATTTACATTATATAGTTGATTATATTCATTATCAACGATGGAAAAAATAAAGGGATGGGAAGTCGTATTCTTTGGCAAACATGGGAGATAAAAGACTTACCTTCTGATGTTGCGTGCCCTTCAAAAATGTCATCCATTGGTGAATTTTGATGGATATTGTCTTTGGCTGTAAAATAATCTTCACTCAACAGAGACTCTATTTCCTTTAACCCTTCGTCTTGATAGAGTTTATCTCCTGTTCCAGCTGTATTTCTTTCGTTTCTACATGCATTTATGAAAAACAGCTTTGGCTTGCCAGACAGACTACTGCACGCCGGGCCCGTGAAAAGCTTTATAATGTCCTTCACTGTAAATGTATTCCAATCTTTTCCATAGATGCTTCTACCAGTGCCATGACTTGAAATGCATAAAACAAAACAGTCGAAGTTTTTATGACTAAGCTTTGAGTATTCCTTGATCTTTTTAAACATTTCATAAGCTGTTAAGTTAAAAAACTGATCCACTTTAAAATGGAGACCCTCAAACGTTTCTTTAATCAGTGCCGCATCCAAGCAACCAGTTCTCTGCTTCTTTGGATTGTCTCCATCAAACTCTTCATTCTGCAATACCAAGCAGATACCTCTGGGCTTGGATGTCATCACATATGAAGGCCCATGCTGGAAAGCAGCTCTCAGTTTCTGTAAATGGATTGCAAAAAACATCAAAACAATATCGGTAAAAATGCCGAGAAACGGGGGTTATTGTGAGCACCAAAATAACTACGAACAGATCCTGGCCTACAACCACAGCGCAAAACGAAACGTGCAGGAAAAACGGCAAAAAAGACGAAGGTCTTGATTGAATCATACCTGAAAGAACCATAGTTTCAAGGCCGGTTTACACGATCATATAGAGTTAAACATTCCTTCAAATTTGTTTAAAATTTCTTATGTAAGTACAGAAAGCGATCGTGTAAACGGCTTTAAAACTACCCCAAGTTGTGTTAACCAATCCAGGAGAAGTTTATGAAGCACTTATTGTTTGAGCGGGGAAATTCTACGTGAATATGATCGGGTACACTGGTCTTCAGAAATTTTTGGTCTGCTTTCTATTGACTATGTTCAAACCATTATTTGAGCTGAGCAATTATCATAAATTTATGAATTTCCTTAAAATACTTGAAACTCAATTCTATCGTTACGCATTTTGCAAGTGCAGGACCCATGTAAGCAAGTGGCTTTTTCACATACTGCTCTCGGTACGAACCTTGGGGTCGCATTTGTCTTCTAAAATGCTGACTATTGTTGTGTTGGTGGGGTTCCTTGATCTAGCCAGGTCTATAGCTGTCAATTGGCCATTCTGCATGAAAAAGGCTGCATCTTTATTGCATATATTTTACATATATTGCATATACACGACAGAATATATTTTAACAAGAATTAAAAAAACCAAAATTTGGCGTTAAATACAAAAAAACGAATAGACAGTTGAATTATTCCTTCACTGCTGACATGAAAATATGTAACACTGCTACAGCGACTATACGTTCCTAATTTTTTCTTTGAATGTGCATATTTGTGAAAATCTTATGTCTTCTGCTGTGGGGACTAGCGGATCACTTGTCTCTAAAGTAATTGTCTGAATTTTTCCAGCATCGTGCTTCTCTTGATAAAAGATAAAAGAACTTACAAAAAAGGGTAGCAATGTGAGGATACATACATCAGCACGGGGTAAATTGTAATACACTATTACTCCGCATACATACCCGGGTATAGGCCCAATGGGTCTTTGAGTGAGATGTGAAAGATACTTCAGAAAAAAGGATATTTTATAAAAGACCAGATATCTTCGACTATACATTCTTCTTTAAGATATGTAGCAGGTCTCTTGTTAACATATTGGCATGGGACCACTAAATCGTTTCCCCTCTTGTTGTCTCTTCAGCCACATCAGACATTGATATTGAAATAGATTAACCGTTAAAGTGATGTGATTGTTAATACATAAAGATATATCAAATAAATTGTATATAAAAAAACTCGCATAAAGGCCCATGAACTTGACTGCGGGGCATCAGAGGGTAGGCAAAAACGGCGGCCGAATGTTTCTCGCAGTTTGTTGCTAGGCAACGCGTAAAGAGAGGATTAGCATGCAAGAATATATCATCAAACTATATTTATTGCTATGGTTTACGTTTAGTATTTAAAGAATGTTCAGTACACCAACAGAAACAAGAATCTACAACCTGTCAACACTAAATCAATATAAAATGTTCAGGGGACTAGCAGCCACAAATTCTAATGACATTTTGCTTCAACATTGGAAAGACAGCATTGCTGGCCTATAACGTTGCAGTGAACAAGGTATTTTTCGCAGCATCATAACTTAACGCCTAATACAATTTTTCTTAAGCTTTCATTGGTATAAATGGTTTCTTTGTAAAAATATATTTTTAGAGTTGCAAAATGCTCTAGGACCAACCGAATTTGATGATTCCGATTTTAATAATTTCTTAGTTTCTATAGGCTGTTGTCAAAATCAAAGAGTGCGGCATGACAGCAATGCACCAAGAGCAGTAATAGGGCTAATATTTTATAACGCTAAAAACGAAACAAACAAACATAGAAGTCTATACAGGGGTAGAAAGGTCTTTAGGTTCCCTTTACTTTATATCTTAAGTGTGTGTTTCATTTAGAACTTTTCATGAGGCATATATCTCTGGCTTTCTATTTCTCATCATAAGGCGGACAAATGTAATTTTCAAGAAAGTGAGACGTATACCATACCATGCAAAGAAGAAAGCGGCAAATCAATGTCCAGCTACCAAATAAAATTTCTACAAGCAATAGTTTCGGCTTATCTGGTAATTATTGCTCTTGAAAAAACTTTTATAGATGCATTTGGAAAATATGAAAGTCAAGAATAACCTAATGATTTCCCAGTTTGCGGAAGTCAGTATCAGAGCTGAATCTTCTGGCCAAAAATGTGATCGCAATGCTGCTAAAATTAATATAATGCATCCACACACACAGCAGTGTGTCAAAAAGGTTTTTGATAATTGTTATACCCCGATAATTCACTATAGGGATTTATTAGATATCAAACAATTGAGCAATCACTCCCTTTTACATAATGTATATATGTTTGCGTGTGTATGTATATATGTTTGTAGGATAGCTGTGTTTTCATGTTCATTAAATATTCAAATAATTTTTTGGTATCGCAAAATTTTAAAATGGCACGAAATAGATTTCCGTCCGCCACTCTTCAGAGTATAAACGTCAGATAATGACCGACCGAGCGTAAGCTGAAAGTTTATATTCAGATGGTGTTGATCGAAAGTAACGCGAGAGGAAAAAAGACGCATTTTGCGATGAAAAACAAAACACCAATTCATTTCGATTCCCAAAACAACAAATCCTGTCCCCGGCTCCTACTCCAGAACAATGTTGATAGCTTAGGCAAATATCATATAAGCCACTGGAACCAGGGGGACAAATTGATCATTTTACCTGAGGGAGTGATAATGTTAACTCAACAAAAAGATTCTTCTCTTAAAATAAGTACTAATATGGCGTCAGAAGCAACAAAAAAATTTCGCCGGAACAATCACATTTGGGTTAGCAATCAAAATACGAGGCAGTGCCTTCCGCCAAGACAGGTTTCTCCCAATATTAAACTTTTCTATTAGACTTCATTTTCAACTTCCACCTTTTTCAGTCACAGAAGTATCCCAAATCTTAACTTTATGTTAAGAAACAAAATCTAAAATTTTCCAACAATTTTTAAACTAGGGGGCTCTTGCCCCAAAACACCCTACAATTTCCACCCATGAAGAGAAAAATGTACGTCTTAATTCTCTTCTTGTTGGCTGAATTTCTGAGTTTGCCTTTAAAAATTGACGATAGTGATGAACGGCTTTTGAATCTTTCAAAAGGTATCTTTCAAAAATTACCTCATTCTTTAAATCTTCTCTCAGACCATGAGTTTTTGCAAGTTTGTGCAGCACAATTGTTGTTTCTAAATAGTCATACAAAACAGCCAAGTGAAGTGCTGTGTTCCCATCCTGCGAAAAGGGATTTTCATTACAAATTCTGTGGACAAACTTTACACAAGACATCTTGAAGAAAAAAAAAATGGAAACGCAATGCTTAGATAATGGCTTACAAAGGAGTTCAAGTAAACCAGTGGGAATACAAGTGAAGATGATACAATTAGGTCAAGTAATCACATCGCATTTCTGTTGATCTAAATACAATTTGAATTTGACACGACGTTATATGAAACTTTTAAAAGCCAGAATACTAAACAAAGTCATAAAAACGGTCTAACAGGGCCTTAGATAGCGAGGGTGGATTAGCGGGATGGGCCCAACATTTTTGCAAAACAACAAACCTTTATTACTTTAAATATTTTTTTGCTCTAACGGTGCACAAAGAGTCATTTGTTCAAAGGGTGCACATAAGGGGGAAGCGAAGCAAAAATCTCTTCAAACTTGGTCAATGGACCAGATGAGGGCTTAGATCCAAGAACTGACCATATAACAACGACCCTCCGATTAAGAGAGAAATAATCTATAAGATATAAGTCTTTTAAAACCAAGTATTTGCATATGTTTATCGTTGTCTTCAAACTAAAAACTAACGTTCTAGAATTTGCAAGATATCCTGCTGTTTGCGTAGTCTGACAGTCAAGGTTTAATTTGTCTGTAGAGAGAGAAAGATTAAGCACTTCTCTTTTGAGACAATTTATTAATAAAATAAATTTGAAAACAAAGATTTTTAAAGAAAGAGCATGTCGAAAGTTAATATATGTACACAGAATAATAGCATACAAAATTGTCTGCATACCCTGTTTTGTGCATTAAGATCGTTGTCACTGAATTGCGCCAAAAGTTTGATAACGCCAAATTTGTTCTTGAATGCAGCATATAGAAACGGTGTGTATCCACCCTAAAACATTCAGATTTACACTAATACATTTTGATTTCTGATAAACTGAACAAGAATAGGACTAAACACAATAGAAGTGATCAGCCAAAGTATTAAATGGTGATAGCAGAATGTACACAGAAGTGTTTACCGAAGTGGACAAACATCAATACACTAACATAAATACACTAAATGGATTTTGTTTCAGGAAATTTTCCCCCTTTATCTCAAATTTAAGACTATCTTGACCGATATCGGTGACTTAAAACACAAATTCAAGTAAGGAATCTTAATGATCGGCAAAAACTTAAAATCTAGCAACAAAATGAACATTTCACCAAGCCCAGTATACGGCTAAGACAACAACAAAGCAAGCTGGCATTGATGCAAAATGTGGCTTATGTGGCAAAATGTGGCAAAATGATGCAATGTGCAGTTTGTCAAGTCAAACGTTGATGTTGTACACAAAGATGCCGATGAAAAATTCGATTTTTTGCCTAATTCTTGGCTTTTCTCTACATTTCTAATTCAAAAAATCCAATCGGTTTCACCTTCTATCAATTGCAAAATTAGTCTCTAAACTTTCCTTGATTTCCAGCTGGGTGCAAAAGTAAGCCCCCATTTGGTGATTACTAGAAACGTTACTAATCAGATGGGTGCTGGATGAAAAACAGTTTTTGTAGAATAAAAGCAAAATGTTTTCAATTTACTTATCATGCTTAAATTTTGCAGTCTTTTTCAAGATAATGCCAACCGGTGATACGTTAATATGGCGTTTTAGCATAGCCTCACCTCAAACTTGGCTTTCAAATCAGCTCCTTTCTCCAAAAGGTACATAATAAACAAAATGTCTTCATCTTTAGTATTATCCACCTTGGCTATAGCTAAGTGCAGCACTGAGTTACCATACTAAAAAAAATCAGACAGATTGTGTCAAATTTAGCGTCAATAAGGGCGGGGCTGGCTGTTGACAGAGGCAAATATTATGCACCACAAAAGATAAAGACGCAAATTATAAAGACTACTCACATTGTCTTTGCAGTTAACAAGCCGGCTGTCCTTCTCAAGAAGATTTTTAATTGCCAAGATGTCCAGATTTTTTGCTTTTAGAAGCTTGATGACCTGCAATCAAATTGTTAGATATGAAATATTTATTATTATCTTTTTAAAACGAAAATTTCTTAAAACGTTCTACCATGTGCTAAGAATTGTAAAATTAAAGTACTTACAGAAGATCTCTTTAAAAAATCGATAATCCTTTGTTACAAAGACATAGTTTGGCTAACACACAAGATTCTGAAACTTCTGAAAAACTTAGAGTTAGTTTTCATGTTTTAGGGGTAGGCTAAAAATCGTCAAAAATACAGATTGAAAGTTAGTTTTTAATTTATCAGAGCAGGATCACTTTCTTTTTGTAGTGTAGAAAGATTTTTGGTTAAAAAAATTGTGGAAAGACCTTTTGCTAGTCATGATCCACACCTGGCTAAATGAGTTAGCTATCATAGTGAAGGGTATTAAATAGGACACTAATTCTAATTGTCATTTCTCAATAAGTGACCACTATTGAAATGAATAGATTCATTTTAAGAATTGAGAAATCAATGAATTTAACCAACCAATCTAAAAACCAAATGCCAAAGAAATTTGAACTAAAAACTAAGCAAATGAATGAAGTAAAGATACGCTAAAAAATCTTAGAATTACCAAAAGAATTATATAAGGATTTTGACTCAGATTAGCAATTTTGGTGTGGTCAAATCTCTAATTCAAAAGCACCAAAAAATTTGAAAAATTGCAGCAGGACTAGAAATATGGTGATAAATTCTAATATGATGATGTTTTCTTGCATTTCCTAATTGTCATTTTTTTATGAAGATAATGTATTTCTCAGTCTAGTTTAATTAAATGTGCCTACTGTGATTATATAAGATGACAACATAAAAACTCTTGGTGATTTAGAAGAAATCCTTTTCCATAACAAAGAAAAGAGAAGAAGGTTGGTACAAAAATAGATGAAAAGATAACTACTTGACCTCTTCTTGCATATCTTTATTGTCATTGCTTGATGAAGATGCCTCCATTGGCGTAGACTCACTGACAAAAACTGAGCCTTCTGTAGCTTCAGCACCAACTTCAACATCACTTTTCCTTTGCTTGTCATCTTTGCTTGAGAAATAATTTTGCAGAAAATCCATATCATTCTATTTTTCTGCTCACTACTGTGCAATCTAAATAACAATAACAGAGATAGATTACTCTGTCTGTAAGCCAACAGAAAAATTTGATTAACCCTCTACTATATGACACGGTAGCCGAGTGGTTAAGGCGCTTGACTGCCATGCCAGTACTCCGGGTTTGATCCCGGCTTGCGGACGGCCCTCAGTCCACTCAGCTGAAAATGAGTACCTAGTTGAAACATACTAGGGAGGTAAAAGTGGCGTGCAAAGGAACTGGCCACCCTACCATACAATGCCGTGGCCCAGGAGGATGCGCCCCTAACAGTGAATTCCCCAATTCGATATCGAATAAGGGACCAAAAAAATATGACACTGTGTTGTTTTTCCCTTCTTTTCCTTCATAGGGCATTGGACTTCAAAAAGCCTCTTATAACAAAAAAGTCTACAAACTTTTTTAGAGGGGTGTAGTTGTTTTTAGTGAGTTCAAGGATGTAGCTAGTGTGTCATATGATCCAAGGACACAATGCTTATGAAAGCTGGCAAGGGCTTGATCATAGGAAAGTAGTTGATCTTTATCATAGTCAAAAGTACCTGTTGTTGCTCAGCTCTCTGAGACAGCTCACTCTATCCAAATTTTTTACCCAGTCTGCAAAGTATAGCATTTTTTAAAGAGACTCTTTAGTGAATCTCTTTTCCACCAAGTTCAGTTCAAATATATCAGTTTCTGATAGGCGTACTTCCTTGGCGTACCAGTATTTTAAGAACCATTAGAAACACAAAAAACCTATATTTAAGAGGGACCATAACAGGAAACATTTAACAAGTTCAAATGAGCTGGTAACAGGAAGGCAGGAACATCTATAGGTTAATGCTAGTGATGATCTTTCCATTGGCTGGTAGGCCTGAAAAACATACGTGCATTGCAGGACCTGCACCACTGACCCTAAATTGGAAAGGCCAACAATGTAAAGCATCAGTTGCTCTACGCTGAAAACAGCCGTTATACACCAAAAGAGATTCGCAACTCTATACTGTGGGCCTATCATGGTCTACAAATGAGAAAAATGGATGGACTAGAGATTTAAAAGCATCTTCAACATTTTTATATGTTGCATATTGATAACCAGCTTGTTAAGAGTAAAAGCATGTCTGATGGCACCAAAGGCTCTTTGTAAAAAGTAACATGGTTAAGGACTATAGAAAGAAGAATATGTGAAGGACATCTTTGTTAAGCCCAATGTAATGGCAAAAATTTCACTTCCACCATCTTGAAATGAATAAAATGAAAGATTTCTGTCTCTTTTGCTATTGCTTAAATAGTGTAGTACACAACAACACAAGTGTAGTCTCCTGTAATAAGTTTCAGTAGGCCCACAGTAGGCTTTGTCATTATTGTTGACTCTGCTAAGTCACTCTGCTTTAAGGCAGACAAACCACTTGGCTGAAGTTAGATCAAATTTAGGCAAAAATATGCTAAGCTATTCAATTTAGTTCTGTTTACAACCAGAGTTGGGAATCTAGTGTATCAGCCTTGTTGTGTCCGCCATTTTTGGGTTGTTGTTGTTGGAAGAGGAGGAGGAAGGCAGAAGGAGGGACTGCAGAGACTGACTGAGACTGTTTGCTTTGCAACTGTTATAATGTGATACTTGTTGTGTTATTTACATATATACATCAACAGCAAAAGGATGATGTCTGGTTTTCTTGTCTCGGAGACTTTATAATGGCGACGAGGATAAAGCTGAGGTAAAAAAAAAAAACTAGGCCAATTCAGGAATCAGCGTAAAAGGTAGAAAAACTAGGCCGATTCAAAATGGCGGCGAGTTATGGATTGCATGCAATGACCAAGTTTGACCCGGAAGATCACCAAGGGAATGTTTATGAAGCATTTTGTGACTTTATTGATTCTTTTCATTATGAATATGATGCAATAGCCAAAGAGCCACCGAAGGAAGGTAGTAACACAGAGAAAGCAGCATGGGTAGAGCAAGATAAACGGAAAATTTTTTTAGGAAGGTTTGCCTCAAGAAACCTTCAAAGGGATTTTGAGGAAGTTGTTCCTGAAAAGGATAGGGGTAAAATCACTTTTATGGAGATGACAGCAGCACTAAAGAGAAGATATGATATCAGTAGGAACAAAACACTTGCCAATTTTGAGTTTCACAAGTTGTTTCAGAAGGAAAGTGAAAGTTTTGATTCTTTTACAGTAAGAGTAAAGCACGAAGCCAAAACATGTGAATTTTCTTGCACCAGTGAAACTTGTACAGTCAAGAATATCCTCACCAGAGACCAAATCATCATTGGAACATCGAATAATGAAATTCGCAAAAATGCCCTAAAGAACCAGTGGGACCTTGATAATCTGATTAAAGGTGGGAGACAACTGGAGGCAGCAGCAAGAGGGGCACAGAGAATCCATGAAAATAGTGAAGCACCTGTCTCCAGAATAAAGAGACCAGGAAAATACTCCAGAAAAGGGTCAAAATCAAAATATGAAGGAAAATTGCGAGAGAAATATTCCAACTGCCCAAATTGTTCATCGAGAGTATGTAAAGGAGGAAAGCAGTGCCCAGCAGCAAATCGTGAGTGCTTTGACTGTGGTAAAACAGGACATTTTAAAGGCTCGGCAATATGTAAAAAGAAGAGAGAGAAGATTAAACCTCGCACTCGGCGGGTAGAGAGCAGTAGCAGTAAGGATGAAAGCTCTGATACTGAAACATGCACATCTGAAAGTGACTCAAGTTCTAGCCAGAATATTAACCGTGTACGGTTCATGAAGAATGTTACAAAAATACGACGCATGCGTATTCGCCAGCAGATGCGCAAAACATCAGAAAAATCACGCTATCAAGTTGAGGTGATAATCAAAGAGCGAAGAGTAAGTGCATTTGCTGACACAGGGGCGGATATTTGCGTAATGTCTAGGAAACAAGCTCAAGCTTTGGCTTTGCCCCTTGGAAAAACGAAGATGAAAATACGCCCATATGGATCAAAATCAGTAAAATGTTGTGGTTACTATATAGGCACAATCATGCATGGAGAATCAGTTGCCAATGCATGCATATACGTGGTCAAACAGGATCTTGAAACTTTGCTCAGTGGAAGAGTTTCAGAAGAGCTAGGAATCATAACATTTAACCCAACTCCAGATAACCAACAGCCAAGTATTCGGCGCAACACAGAAATCAGAGATGACGTTAAAGCAAGCATTATTTCGCAATATCCAGAGGTATTTACAGGTATTGGTACATTAAAAGACCATTTTGTGAAGTTTCACATAAATGAAAATATTCCCCCAGTAGCTGCACCGGCCAGACCTGTTCCATTTCATTTACGGAAGAGATTTGAGAAAGAGATACAGACCATGGAAGAGAACAATATAACAGAAGAACATATAGGACCAGCACCATGGATTTCAAATGTAGTGCTCGCCCCAAAAGATGATGGTAGTATCCGGGTCACTGTTGACATGCGTCAAGCAAACCGGGCAATTGAATCAACAAACATTCCAATTCCCAGAGTAGAGGACATTAAAACACAACTTGCAAGGTGTCAACATTTTTCTAAACTTGATTTTAAGTCTGCATTCCATCAACTGGAGCTTGATGAAGAGTCTAAGAAGATCACAGTGTTTCATGCAGGTGACCGACTGATGCGGTATCGAAAACTTACTATGGGCACGAAACCAGCCTCTGGCGAGTTGACAAAGGCGCTTCTTCCGCTATTTCAGCCCATTCAAGAAGCACATGTTATCCATGATGACCTCATCATAGCAGCCAAAACAAAGAAACAACATGATCATGCATTAAATCGCGTCCTTCAAGTAATTGCAAAATCAGGAATGACTTTGAATCCTGATAAATGCATGTTTGATAAGGAGGAAATTCCATCCTGGGGACTACGTGTCTGCAAAGATGGTATTAAACCGGACCCAGAAAAGGTCAAGGCATTGCAACATGCCTCACGCCCACGTTCAAAGGATGAACTACAATCTTTCCTCTGTATGATCCAGTCAAATAAAGACTTCATACCAGACTTAGCAAGCAAAACAATGAACCTTCGGATGCGAACAAAGAAACACAGTCGCTTCACTTGGGATAAGGAGTGCCAAAGAGAATTTGACAGGTTGAAAGTTGCATTCAGAGAAGACACTCTTCTCCACCATTTCAATCCTGAAGAGGATACATTTATTTTTGTGGATGCGCATCTTTCAGGACTATCTGCAATTCTGATGCAAGGAGAGACAAGTGATAGTGCAAAGCCAGTAGCATTTGCCAGCCGTGCCACAACCCCAGTAGAGCAGAGATACCCACAGCTAGACTTAGAAGCACTAGCCATTGACTTTGGATTGCGTCGGTTTCGCTACTTTATTGCAGGAGGTTCTGAGATCAAAGTCGTTACAGATCATAAGCCCCTGGTAAGCATTTTTTCTAATGCTAGAAAAGGGTCGGTCAGAACAGACCGGATAAAGCTGCGTCATCAAGACATGAAATATAGAGTAATCTGGAAGGAAGGGAAAGTTAACCCAGCTGATTACCTTTCCCGACATGCAACACCATTTAGTAGCATCAGCAGAGATCAACAAAAAGAAACCAGTGAACTAGAAAAAACGGTCTGGCTTCTTCAATATGCTCCATAAACCGAGTCCATTTCTATGAGTCGAATCATCGATGAGACAGATAAAGACAAAACACTTCATGAGTTGAAGAAATACATTAGAAAGGGATATGTACCAAAGACAAAGGGTAATCTCGCTCCATTCAAAAAGATCTTTGCGGAACTTACCATCTCAGATGAGGAACTGATAATGAAAGGAGAACGCATTATTCTTCCTGAGAGTTTGTGGGACATTGCCCTTGTAAAAGCCCACCAGGGAGGTCACCCTGGAATGAACAGCCTTAAACGCCGCCTACGCAGTCATTTCTGGTTCCCATTCAATCTCACAGAACGCCGGAACATGCATGGCAAGATGTAAGCATTGATCTGTTTGGTCCTATGCCCGACAGTAAGCATGTGTTGGTAGTTCTGGATAAAATGAGTCGATTTCCTGCAGCAAAGCTTGTCCCAAACACCGCAGCTAAGCCTGTCATTAAAGCATTGGATGACATTTATACAGATTTCGGTTATCCTGAAATGCATCGCACAGACAATGGACCACCATTTGATTCAAAAGCATTTGCTGAATTTTCCCAAGGCAGCGGTATTGATCATGTTAAAACCTTCCCGTATCACCCACAAGCAAACCCTGCAGAAACATTTATGCATCCTCTCGGAAAAGCGTTAAAGGCGGTCCATTTCAATAAAAAGGATAAACATACAGCTATTAAGGAAGTCCTAGCAACATATCGGGCGACGCCTCATCCTGCAACGGGAGTACCACCGGGAGATCTCTTGCTTCGTAGTGGGTATCGAAAAGATTTTCCGCGACGGCAACTGACTGAGCAACAGATACGCGAGGCTCAGATGCAAGACAGAGCACAACGTATGTCTCGAGAGGACCAAATGAACAGGTCGACCCATAGATAGAAGTCCATCTACACTCCAGGGGATCTTGTGTACATACGGAACATGCAGCGGTGCAAGTTTGATCCCATCTTTGGGCCAGAGCTGTATAAAGTCCTGTGCACAGAAGGTAGCGGCCTGTTACTAGAAAGTTTGGCTGATAATAAAAGTTTCAGAAGGCACTGTGATGACGTAAAGCCTGCAGTTAGCCAAGGAAAAATCGAGGACCATACTATTTGGATAGAGAACCAAGCCCATCAAACAGAAAACGCGAACAACCAAGATCCGGTTCCAGACATGACAGAAGAGACCTCGGAGGGAAACTCGTTTACCTGCTAGGTTCAAAGACTACGTCCGTTACTAAAAAAGGGGAAGTGGTGTTGTGTCCGCCATTTTTGGGTTGTTGTTGTTGGAAGAGGAGGAGGAAGGCAGAAGGAGGGACTGCAGAGACTGACTGAGACTGTTTGCTTTGCAACTGTTATAATGTGATACTTGTTGTGTTATTTACATATATACATCAACAGCAAAAGGATGATGTCTGGTTTTCTTGTCTCGGAGACTTTATAAGCCTCACCATATTTACTTTCTTCAATGGCTGTTGTTGGTATAGAAATACTAATGCCCAATCAAGAATTTTGAGAAAAAAACTAGGGCTACCACCCTCTTTGAAAAATTATTCATTTTCCTTGAAACTTTTTCCGTTTTTGAAAAAAAGTATAGAGATTGACTGGGTGAATATCAAGGTAAACAAGCTTGAAAAGAAAAGAGGCTTGAAGAGAAAAGCTATTGAAAAAGAAACAGTTTCTTTCTTCAGTTTTTGTTATTATAGTTTTATGTTTTCCTGGTTGGAAAACACATTGTAGAGTAAGCAGTTGGCAGTTGTACCTGTAGGCAGTATGATGTTCCAAGGTGCTAGATTGGAGTTTGGTCAAAATAAGATCATAATAATTTGGTTTCTACTTACCACTAGCAAAGATTTGTTTAGTGTGAGTGTGAATGATTAACCAGATTTAAAATTGCACTCAGTCAGATGTAAACATAAAACTTGATGGTCCAAAATCCCAGCTCAAAACTCTTTTCCACATTTTAAGAAATACTTGCAGCTTATAGGCAAATCCAAAATATTCTATGGGACCTTATCTGGATTCCACTTCCAGCTTACATATATATCAAAGATAATTGAAGAATTTGAGACACTAGAGATTTGACCTTTTATTTAAAAGCCTTAGGATAAGTGCATTAAATGTCATGTTTGGATCCCCCTGTGGTATCTGATGGTAATTAGACTGCAGGAATGACATAGATTTGGTTTATTCTTAACATTAATTGATAGTTGAGCTCAAATACATCTTTTACTGAAAAGGATAACCTCCTTTATAGCTTTCATTATCACCTATGCTAATAAGATTAGCAAAAGAGTCCATCTTGAGCTAAAGAGCTTTAGCTTTATGAACATCAATATCCCCTAACCACCGAAAAGGCCGAAAAAAGCACCACTGGAAATTTGTACCCATTTTTTATATCAAACATCTCATTGATTAACATTCTATAAACATTAATTGAAATGACATCTTTAAAGCTAATTAAGGAAAATGTTTTCTGGCGTTTGGGCTGGAGCCATCGCTGACATGCAAATGGCAAGTACCCTGCCCTCACATCAATTATGTATCTGATGTGTCAAATTTTGAAACTCAAAAAAAACAGTTAAGAAACAGATATAAATGAAATATGATCATACTTATGTAACTGTTAGGCCTAAGGCCTATACAGGGAATAGTTTCTCAAATTACATTAGGCTTTTATACCCTCCTGCCCCCACGCCCCTTCTTCTACACCCCTGTTAGGTAATGATTTTTGGTTTATAAAAATTCAAAAACTTTACTAACCATTTTCTTGTGTAAAATTCATCCAATATGCATAGTTGCATAGGACCAATTTGCATTTATAAACAAATCCAGGCAGGATGAGATCAAATCGAAACAACACACACTTTGACAGACCTATTGAATGGGCCTCTTTCTGGGTTTCGCCAGATTTGGCTCGTAAACAAATCGGCTGACTTTAGTTTAGACCGTGTTGGAAAAGGCAATGGAAAGGTAATGATATGATAAAATTACAATATTTTACGGCACTGATCTTACAGGTTTCATCTTAAAATCATATATAGATGTAGATGTAATTTTTCTTTCTTTCAGTCGGAGTAGATCGAGATGTGGCAGTGTATGATGTTTCGGAGCAAGGGTGAAAAGCCATTGTGCACTATTGGCTGAGACCTTTTTGCGACAGAAAAGTAGCCCTTTTCAAACCTTTAATTACGGATTTTGCGAAAATTTTTAGCAGAGCGTCCTTTTTTGTCTCGCATAGTGTACAGCCGCATTGCACATAAACAAGCCGCTTTGTGTTATACTGGGTTTACCAAGGGTAATGCCCCTTGGAAGCAATAGATCCTTGAAAGTTGAATATATTATTCCAAACTACACCTCCCCAGGCAATACGATACTGTTGCATATCCCTTTGGATGTCCGTAGAAGTATTTATATATATAGCATTTACTTTTATATGAAAGTTGACATGAATTTGTAATGTGCATTTTGGAAAGTTTATGATTAATAATTAACTGCTCCGTCACTAAAATATGATATTAACTAAAGCTATGCTTAATTGTACAAATATCGCACTTACATAATATCTTGTTTATTTCAGTCCATAATATTTATTAGATATACATCATTATCCTGCAATTTGTATTGAGGTAGATCTGGGGCATGTGGTCACCTGATTTTGCCTAACTCTCATTTTCTCAGGACACTTTTTTTTAAGAACCAGATAATCTTTGCTGAGGCTCAATATTATTTTTTCTGATAGTTTGAGCTTCAGGTGTTCTTAATATTGTTTGTGTATTTCAACATTGACTTGTTACTGGCTTTTTGAAAAACATAATAATGGTTTTTGGACAGTGCTCTTGGCCAACTTTGACAAAGCATGTTGCAGATTACCAGCATGCCATAACACGAAAACCCTGCATGCAGTCTATAAACTATAAGTTTGCCCTGTCAATGCTTTTTATCATGCCCTCTGAAATACAGGAGTTTCCCAGAAGACAATGGGCAATTGTTAACTTCTAATAAACAAACTGCATTTCTTGCCATGTGTTTTCTAACTGCAGATGCAAAGTTTCTTATATAAGAATGAATGTTAACTTGAATGAATTCAGTTCATTCATTTTGTTCATCAAAATCATTTTGCAGGTCACATGGATGTTTGGTAAAATTTGTATGCACATCAACTTGTGTAACAGATGTTAGTGCAAGTAGAAGTGATGCTGTTTTTCAAGTGCCTTCTTCTGCCATTAGTATTTATAGGAGAAGTATTATCTAGTGATATGCATAACATTTTTCATGATAATGCATACCTGAAACATGAAAGATTTCATGATGTCCAAGAAACACCAGGAATAAAAAAAATTCTTATTTACACAAACCTGTTTGGAAGTTCTGAATGGCCAAACTTAAGAGAAGAAGATGGAGATACATATTTAAAGAAATTTGGTTGCCCTGTAACTAATTGCCACTTGGAGTACAGAAAAGAGGAAAATCAGTTGCAAAATGCTGATATTGTTGTCTTTCATGAAAGGGACATGCCTGATATTTTGACTCTAAAACATCTCAGCAATAATGAGCGACCCAAAAGTCAATTGTGGGTTTATTTCACAGGAGAAAGCCCAGCTAATTCCCTTGCTGATATTTCAATGTTTGATGACATATTTGATTGGACAATGACATATAAACATACAAGTGACATATGGGTTCCATATGCTAGATCTTACACTACAAAAAAAAGAAGATACAAAGAAAACATTGACTATGCCAAAGGCAAAACAAAGCTTGTTGCCTGGATTGTTAGCCAGTGTGGAAAGCTACGGGATAGTGTTGCTCATGAACTTGATCAGATTTTACCAGTTCATGTCGCAGGGCACTGTTCTTCTAATTTTCCAAATAGATTTTATTGTGAAGACCATTTCTGTGAGAATCAGCTACATGACTTTAAGTTTTATCTTGCTTTTGAAAATTCTCATTGTGAAGAGTATGTAACAGAGAAATATTGGCAAAAGAGTATAAAGAGTGGTGTTGTACCGGTGGTACTTGGAGGTGGCCCATACAACAGTCCACATGTGGCTATCCCTGGGTCATACATTAATGCACTAGATTTCAAAACAGTAGCAGATTTAGGAAAATATTTAAAATACCTAGATAAGAATAATACAGCTTATAATGAATATTTCAAATGGAGAGAACATTATGAGCTCTGGAATCCTGTTTGTGATTGGCCATTCGAGCCTTATTGGGCTTGTGAGATGTGTGTTCGCTTGAACAAAGGAGTCAAACACAGACAAAGAGTGAAGATGTCTGAATTTTGGAGTGTGCATAGAAACTGCAGAGGAAACGAGATTGAAGAATTACTAAGAAAATCAGGCCATGATCCTTCAAGATTTGTAGAAAAATATGAAAATACATTTGGAAGAGTAAGTAAAGAATTAGATTATGAGGAAGAAAAACAACATCAACCAGAGATGCACAACAATAACAATGAGGGCGAAATAAGCATCAAAGAAGATGTGTACAACTTTGAAAAACTGAAAAAGGAAGCAAGATTCTTGCAAGATTCTGCTGGTGAAAGCTATGTGATAATTTTCATTTTCAGTCTTTCTGTTGTAGGACTTTTGGTTTTTTTGTACAAAAGACTTGCTTGGACTAAAGTTTGTTAAGAATTTCACTTTTTCGGCCAAGTTAATTTTTTATTGTGTTTGTTTTCTCATCATATGAGTGCTTACTCAAAAACATCATGGATCTTAAATGCCATGTAAACCGCCAGTTTACATATTATTGAAATATCATTGTAACAAAGATTGAAAATTTGTTTTACTTATACTGAAATTATATTGACCCGTAATTTTACATGTCTGTGATGATAACAAAATCATATGAGTCATACCCACTCACAATACATAGTAAACTATTAAAATTTTCAAAATAACATTCCTAGTTCTCCTCTGACTAGAGTCATTGATAGTTCTCCTCTTACTATAGTCCAAAAATCTTCCGACTTTCTAGAAATATAGCAGAAGAAAACTGAATGTATATTAACTTAAGACATGCAACATTTAAAAGCTTTGACCCAAATTATAGAATGTATAGATTTTGTACTGATTTTAATAGATGTAGAGAAATTTTACATTATTCACCTTTATCTTGTTATGTTGTAAATCATATTATCTGGTGTGTTGCTAGTTTTGTAAATTGGTTTTAATTAGCCTTTTGTAGCTATTCTGAATGTAAGAAAACAAATGCTTCTTGACAATTGAAATTAATGTCAATAGCCATTGTTATCAAGGGAGGCCCTGGTCAAATTTTCCAACAAAGTGGATGAGCCCCATAGTGATATGATATCTTGTTTACAGACAAGTTTTAAAATTCGAAAATGAAGCACCGCTTCGCAGCCTGGTCCTAAAGCCCAATGGTTTTCTTATTATTTACAATGAAATTATATTTCCTTTGTCATCGCCGGCAAATTTCAGATCTCTTTCACTGAGTCTCTGGTACTGTGGCTTAGGTAGGAAAATTCACAGGATGGGCGAGAATTTTGAATTTTCAGACAAAAATCTGATAAGTTTTTTATTTTTTCATACATTGGAACAAGACATAACAATATTGGTACGAAAATAAAACAGAAGAAAACTCGATTCATTTTTTCACATGTCAAAGATTTTTCTGGACTTCTCCTCTAAAAAGGATTTTTTTTAAGTACCATGCCTTATTGAAAGAGATTGCCAGGCTGTTTCTGAGCAACAACAGAAATTATTTTATTCGCCAAATGTAAATAAGATAAAAAAGATAACCATGTTATTATATTCCTGGCAAAATCAGAACTTTTTTCCGACAAAATACCAGTTTAGCTTTACAGGGGGCATTTTGACCCTTCTGACCCCCCTTTATCTACACCACTTCTCTGGTACTCGGGGTACCAAACAATTCAAGCTTAAATTAAGAACTATTTTGCTCAAATTTAGTTCCAAACAAAGCTTAGTGGGAAAAATCATTTTTTCTTGGCTTATATATAAACCCCACTTTCGGTTGGAAAAATTACAACTCCCGGTATCTCGAAATTCCGCTATGCTGTGCTGCAGCAACGGTAACTACGAGGAAAATACAAAGAGCAACCAAAGTGTTGGGAAATGCGTATGTTTGTGAGGATCAAGTGTTGATGTAGGCATCTAGGATTCATGCAAGGCAGCAGGCATTACTCTAATGTGCAGTGATACCAATTTATGCAGCCAGAAATCCGTTTTATACAGTGTAAGCGAAATTTTGTGCAATGTTAAGATGTTGAGATAGCAGATATAACAGTCAAAACACAAAAGAAAATCACGTTGAAATGATTATCATTCAGATGCTTTGTTTTTAACCTCTTTCAAACCATTTACCTTTTTAAGTTTTTTTAGTCAAAAATGTTAGGGAAAGGCCCATAACCCTAACAATGGAAAAGACATACGGGTCTGGAAAGAGAGAAGAGTGTTCGAAATTTTACAAGGTCCTAAGGAGAAATAAGAGTTGTAGGATAGAGGTCGTGAATTTTACAAAGCGACTTGGAAAAATTGGCACAGACAATGTATCAGGTATTACGTACATTACTCATCGGACCTGGAATTATATCTCTGATCTCTTTGGAGCAATGTCCATGGTAGAAAAAAGGCGAATGGCTTTGGAATGGATTTTTTCGAGGAGGTGAAGGCAAAATTCAGGAATACTTAACGAAATATTAGAGCATATTTCCAAAAAAAGACGAATTTGAGAAATATGAATCAGATTTTTTAGAGCTGTGATGCTAAGAAGAATCAACGTTTGCAAAGTTTGTTTAGCAATGGAAGAAATATGAAATTCCAAATTGAGGTTGGATGATACAGAAAAGCCTAGTTCTGAAAAAGAAGTAGAAATGTCCAAATCGATACCATTCATTGAATTAGGAGGAAAGTCAGAGTAGGGTTTACGTGAAATGACAAGCTGTATGGTTTTAGTTTGATTTAAGCTGACAAAATTGTCTTTACCCTTCATCTCAATTATTGTAAGGTCATCAATGAGAAGAGAAGCTGAAAACATTTCTCTGAAGAGGACAGTAAAATTTTGTGCATTATCGAAGGCAGAATAAAAGCTGTGATAATTGTCATCAGCAGCAAAATAAATATTTGGTTATTAACTATAGGATGAATAAAACGGGAGATATAACAGAACCCTGTGGAACACCAACATTAATTTAGTGGGGGCTGGAGAGGTACCCGTCAACTTTGATGGCTGTAGACCTGTCAGAGAAAAAGCTGCCAATCTAATTTATAAGGAATTGGTGCAGACCATTCATGGGAAGTTTCGACGGAAGCCTTTTTTGTCAGACGCAATCAAAAGCATTAGAGATGTCAAGAGAGATCACCCTACTCCCACCAGGATTCAAGAGCAGAGGGCCAAACATAAGTTTGTTGGTGAGGTCAGACTTTTCCCCTTTTTAAGGGAAAAGGAAAACATGGGCTATTCTCAAATTACTGGTTTCCCCGTTCTTTTTCCATTTTGTAGGGGGGGGGGTCAACAGAGCAGTTGCTAGCCAGGTTCCCGTGTCCCAAGATCAGCGTCTTCAGGTGAAGGACCAGGAAAGCTATAGCAACAAAAATTTTAAATAATAGCAATTTTAGTCCCTTCCACTTCAACACCTTTAAAGAAGTCGCCTTCTGGTGCCTTTTTTGCCTCACCAAATCCTTGTTATCTGTCTGTCATAGAAGCACGTTAATCATTGTTCTTCTTGAAGAACAATGGAACGAAAATTTATTCTGTATGTTTTGTTTATGGGTGTTGGGGCTACATATTCTAGTCAGAAAAATGTAAGATCTTAAAGACATTTATGAAGGTATTTTTAACCCTTGTGCTTAGCATAACCGTCATACCAGCGTTACCTGACAACTGTGAAATTGTAATAGCTGAGATTTGTCTTACTGTTCCCCTTCCGCCGAAATCAACATAGGCCCCGACGCAAAATCTTGGGGAATACCACGAGAAAATGAAAACTCAAAATGTATTTTTTCTATTGCAAAGTAAATTTGCAAGTTGGCAGATTGTCTGTTTTCACCATTTTCCATTTTCCAACGATGATATAAAAATTTCAATCTATCGCATGCTTTAGAAAGCTATTAGAGAACAGAACCATTTCTACCACAAATAATTCTTGATTTGTATGGCTCTTTGCTCAAACCGTACCGATTGTCAAACAAGATATTCGGAATTGGCTGAGATTTAAAAAAATGAGAAGCATCAACTTCACACCTAGTTCCTAATCGGTATTACTGATAAGAGTCTTTGGTCAGGATTTAGATGAAAAAATGATGCTTGTATTCTTCCTGATCGATAGTACCGGAACAAAGCTCAAATCAGGCCTGGTGCTGCAGCTCCAATAGCACCAACCTTAACCCAGTCCTGCAGATCGAGCGTGGTCATAATTCGACAGGCCATACTGTACATACAAACGGCTCCCAGGCATTGCTGGCGAAAGGACGAGAATCGTCCAGATCCAAGCAGTGTGAGGACAAAAACGTGAGTAGAAACCATGCACCTGTCAAATGATACTTTCTTTAAATTCTAGGGAAATGATCGCTGTTCAAATTTCTCAGTATACGAAGAGTAAATTCAAATGTATCCAATAAATGACAGGAATTCCCACATAAAGAGCTTTTAAATTCTGTTGCATGATTTATCGACTTTGACAAACAAGATAATGTACAATGTCCAAACTGGCAGTTGGCTGGTTGCATAAAAACAGACAATGATGATACCAAGTTTTGCTTTGAAAACCAGTCGTGGAATTTTCATGTGGCCACGTGCAAAGATCACATCAATGATCTGCAGGTTATTGTTCTACGAAATATTTACCAAAAGATCGATCATCGTCAGGTAAAACAACGAATCAACGAATTGTAGCAATGTCGATAGAAATTGTCAGTTTCATCATAGTGCTTTCATCAAGGAAAGGGACACAAAAAGGTACCAAGACGGGATATTTCGTTAAGCGATAGAATGTAAATTTATCATTCTATGTACTTCGAAGGTTGTTTTCTTCTGGTATTAATCTGATATGGACTCTATTGGCTAAAACTAGCATCAATGACTTACCAAAGTAGCCATCTACACAACATGCGTACAAAATCCAAGTGGCTGATTGCGTTTGTATCTCTGATGGGGTTTGCTATTTACACTTACAGGTATAATTTCTTGAGTGTCAGAACTACAGCCAACACAGTACAAGTCATGTTTGGATCCAGAGTAACAATTTCCTTTCACAAACCGACAAATATGACTAACATCGGTCAAGGTGACCTGAAAAATAAACCTCCTGCCCATGTGCCCCAAGTCAAGATTCTACTTTGGTCGCAGACATTAAGGAATAAGGATGAGACGCAAATCTTCCCCAATTATGGCAAAGCAAAACGTTCTTGTCCAGTAAAATACCATTTTGTTTATGATAGAAAACAGATCAGTTCCATCAGTGGAGTAATTGTGGATGTAAAAGCAGCATCTGATCTGCCTCCAAAGACGAGACACATGCCGTGGATTCTCCTGTATGATCAGCCTCCTCTTGTTTATAGGATGTTAGAAAATAAAACATTCATGCAAGAATTTAACTATTCAATTGGGTACAGAATGGATTCTGACTTTCCTAATCCAAAAATATCCGAGCCAGAGGCTATCCAGCCTTTGGATTTCCATCAAAAATATGATTACATTGCCGCAATATTTTCAAATTGCACAAAGTTACGAACCGATTACGTAAGAGAATTATCAAAATACAGCCGAGTTAAATCTTATGGTAAATGTCTGCGGAACGTCGAAAAAAACAATATTGCTCGCATAGGGGAGGAAAATTATATTGCATCAAAGAAAAGACTGACAAGATTGCACAAATTTACGCTGAGCCTCATGAAGTTTGATTGTCATGACTATGTTGATGACACTCTTAATCATGCATGGGAGGCAGGCTCATTGCCACTGTTTCTTGGAACAGAGAGCTTGCGAGATATGCTTCCTAAATACCTTAAAAGTAGCTTCATTCAGATATCACAATTCACCAACCCACAACACCTAGCTGAGAAAATTCAGGAGCTGATAAATAATAAGGAGGACTATAAAAGGTTCATGTCATGGAGAACAAAGAATAAAAACCAGAGTGACACTAGCCCAATGTGGAGAATATGGAGACCCAGTTACTCACCTGGTTGCCAAATTGCAATGGCTATTACAGAAAATAGATCAAAAGGTAATGTACAGGCTCAAAAAACTCTCAAACCCATAATATGTAATCAACGTGACACAAATAAATGGCTTGGAAAAAATCAAAAGATTACCAAGGTCACTGATGATTAAAACAAAGAGATATATCATGAAAAGTTGAGAGTTCACTGGAAATGAAACCTTTTGGAGATGGGCAGCCAGGAAGAAGACTGGCTAAGAGAATATGTCACCGCTTATACAGAAGATCTCAAAAAAGAAATCAACAGTAGCAAACTTTTTGAGCAAGCATCTGTAGTAGCCTAACATGAGTTCACCAAGCAAGCAAGAGCATAAAGCTATTGTTACACTGTGTATTAATAACATTAATGATACAGAATACATGTGACATCAAACAGTTAAAAAAGACTGTATCCTAATGCAACAGTATTTTGATCAAGTAAAGATACTCATACAAATACATGATTATGTCTATTAAAAGTGCTACCAATACCAATTAAACTACTTCAGTTTTCGGCTTTTCAGTTTTCAGCTTCATTGCTTGATCACTTTGGCCAACAAGATAGTTTTGGCAGCAATGAGGACTTACTTTGCAACTGCGACCAGAAAGTTTACCCCATTTCACCGGCACTCTTGGGCATTTTTCAACTGTTTTTGCTTTGTTACCTTTTTCATTCAAGCACAGTGTATATTCCTTGTCAGTATTCTTGCAGATTTTTTTCCTGCACAAAATAACCAGCAGAAAAAGAATGGAGCAGAAAAACAGCATGATTATACCAGATGACAGGGCAATGAAGATGGGATCTGTCCATGGTGAGAATGCTGCAAGAAACATCAAATATAAGCTTTAAATGAAGAACTATTTCAAAGTTCACATATTAAGAAAAATAAAGAATGCAAACTAAAAATGCAACATACATATAATTAGTTGAAGAAACTATAATTCAAAAGCGTCTTTGCAAGTCAAGCTGTCGTAAAAGCAGTATTACATATTGTCATTATCTATACCTTTCTTTAGTTGAACTTTTCCTGCTTAGATGTAATTTTTGCCAAGTCAAATTGTTTTAGGGCAAGCATCTACTGTCAAAAAGGAATGAGATTATTAGGGATGGTTTAGTAGGCAGGGGGTGTAGGGGGTGCAACATCCCCCAATAGTTCTGTGTCCTGCAGTAAATTTTGTTTCATACAGTAAAAATCATTTGTTGGTAGTCAGTAGTAACAAAGTGATGCCAAGATATTACTTCATTTATTTTTGTCAGTATTTATCTTCTTATCAGTAGCATAGCGAGGGGGGGGGATTTCGGTGAAGAATGATAAGCATAAGCTTCTCAGTGTCCTAAAAACTACCTTCAGATGCTAGGTAGAAACGAATACAAATACAAATACTTTCCTATCTTTGTCTAAACAACATTTCCTTTGAAATTTTGAAATTGGGCTTTTTGTATTCATAAAACAACTTTAACTTGTGTTGGTCAGCATCAGAACCATCCGATTGTCACAAGTTGAAAAAGTTGCAGTCTATAACTAAATGAGAGAACATGGACCACTTTTGCTATGTGTATTTGGTGAGCAGATTGAGTTTCTCTAGATGATACTCTCCTCCTGATTTGCAAAGCTCTGGCATGTAAAAACATATTGAATGAAATATGAGGCACAGCTTTTCAGGGATACTCAATGAAATCTCAAAGCTTTATAAGGTTAGAAGAAGGGAGGGTCTGGGGGTACTTTCCCAGGAAAATTTAGGGCCACATCCTATAGATTACCTAAGAATCATCTCATATCTCAGTATTTTGATTTGATATTTTGAAATGAGCTATGCTTGTCCTAAAGCCATTAATGCCCAGAATTAAAAATCTACTGACAAGCATATTCCAATTCCCTGAGAAACTACAGTCTTAAGTTTATTCTCAATTTCCTAAGTGGAGGCTGGTAAGAAGAGGCCTTGCTGGTTACTAACAAGGAGCATAAAAAAGTCTGAATCAAAGAAAGTAAGATTATTTGGGAAACTACAGTATCTGACTTGCGCTCAAGCATGTTTATAGAGTCAAGGATTTACTCTGTAGAGAGTATTCTGTGGACTGAATTATGTTAAAATCAACTGACTGAGTGAACTTTTAGGGGGTTACATTTCAATCCCACACTCCCACCTAGAAGTTTGACAAAGTACAAGGGAAGGGGGTCAAAATAATTTAAATTTAATCATACAAAATATATGATTGAACCCATGTTAAATTTTAATCTAAAGTCAAATTTGCGGAATGCTTGAAAGCGCTTTTGCATAAGAAAATTCTCGACTTCAAAAAGCCCCCTCCCCTTGGAATAAGCCCCCAACCAAAAGCAATCCTTTTGGAAATAAAATTTGGGGGCTTATTCAGCCTATTCCAGGACTTGACGGTAGGTACCAACTGTGTGAGGGCTCTCGGGGTAGGTGGCTTTAGCTATTTTCCTGAAATTCTTTTGTGATGAGCCGGGCAGGAACTGTATAGCCCATGCGGCAGTTTAAGTTCCAAGAATAGCGACCTATCCAGCTGTGTAAGCCTATTCATCCTAATCACTTGATTGACATATTTTCCACTTCCAAATTGTGGGCCCCTTGTGATTGCTTACCATTATTCTTTTATCGTTGCAAAATTGTTAGGGAACTGAAACAAATAAGTACGAAGTAAGATGCAGGATTAGAAAATTTAAAGGGGATTCTTTAAAATTGAATAAAAAATCGCTCTTCGAAAGGGGATGATATGATAATGAACTTTTCGAGCATGCAACGCGCCTAAACCTGCTAATACTCACATGATGGTTCTGTTTCTTCCGGATTGTCTTCATACCGTGCCATAAGATTTCCTGCATTTATAACAATTCTTTCACATTTCAAACATCCATTGCTTGCATCTTCTGCAAATATTTTCATACAGGCCTCAAACCAAACCATCTCGTTTGAGGAGAGTGACAATCTGCTGTGACACTCTGTCTCCGGTCTAAATGTCGCATCTCTGCGTGGAGCTGATGTGACCAAACCTTGCGTTGGAATATAACATGCCAACATTTGCAGCAACAGCAAAAAACACAAAGGCCGACACCTCACCATCATCGACATGGTCAGTTCAACGGATAGAATGAGGGATTTTACCAAAGTTGTTATTCTTTAGTTGTCAGCTATAGGGAAGTTCCCATAGCATTTCCTTGATCACCGGGATGCCAGCCGATAATTTTATGTGCAGACATAGGGACACCCTGTGACTCGTAAGGAAACAGATAGGCAGGCCCCTTTCGAAGGGTGGAAACTCTCCCTGGGGGTTTTTGGGAACAAGGGAACATGGCAAAAAATGGTACACGAACACAGGAACAAGAACAACTTAAATTTTCCACAAGGGGACAATTACTAGCTGATTACTAGCTGAAGGGAACAAGGGACGTTTTCTTTCAATAGGAGCACAGGAAAATTGGTTGTTTTTTCTTAAAGGCATTGAGTCATGGTAAATAGGCTTTCTCTATAGGGGGTCATTTGGTTTCGGCGTGATCGCTGCTGTTTCATGTGATATTGGCATCCGTTGTTGACAACTTGCTATTGATGGAAACTGTTATGTTAATCAGTACGAGATGAGTTCATGTGACCAGTTCAAGGTCAACCAATAGCATCGCAGTCATGGAAATCATGACTCAGCGGATTTTGGCACTTAGGGTATACCCAGTCTATTTATCATGACTCAATGCCTTTAAGGTAGCAGTCTACCATGAAAATGGTCAGTTATGAAAATTTTGTCAAAATTCCTTTTTCCTTGGATATGATCAGGAAAATTACTGCAAAATTTGATATTGAAGGGAGTTTTCCCGTAACTGTTGTAGTTTTTGTGAAAATTTGATTTATTTATCCCCTGGGTTGATCATATTTCCTTAGCAACCAAGTTTCTATCGGTTGCTAGGGGGTCTGTTGACACCCATGGGACCCGTTTTTGAAGAAAAATTATATTACGTAATCTATAGTCTTCTACCCTATCCCAAAATGCATTTATACCACTTTAAAAAGCACAGGGAACGAATGAAGCATAGTTTCTGTTTGGCCTGGCCGACGAAAGTTGTTCGAAAAAGTCCTTCTGTTTATGAAGCGAACTTATCCGACAATGAACGCCCTGAAAAGAGAGTTTTTAATCGAAAATTTAGGTCGGTAAAGCGAAGAAAAGAAAAAGATCTGCTGGAAGTAGAAAAAACTATGTATTCGAAGCAATGACAAGGATTTGGATTACTTAGGCCAAAGCGAAAAGGTGATGAAGATGTACTGCCTACCTCGTCTTCACAAGCAACAACGGATCAAAGCAAAGAATTAGAGGAACACAGTGCTTCACTTTATAAACTTATGAACACTTTCTTTGGTTCAGAAAACCTTAGTTCCATAAAAAGACCAATTTCCGGATAAAAGAAACGAAAGATGCTGCTGCTGGCAATATTGGCAGTGCTGACGATGGCTACAGCCTTATAGATAAGAAACTTTTGATGAATGCAATCAACAAAATTGCTGTTTGTCGTACATGTAGGAATCCAAAGGCACAGTTAAGCCTGCTGCTTAGTTTGGCCTCTAGTTTAGCAATAAGTTTGGCCTTGCAGAGAAATATTATCTTGTATGTAGCCATTGTCATACAAGTTCACCACTTGAGACCAGTGAAAAGCTCACTGGATCTAAGAGGGCAGACAAGAAAGGGGGACAGACCACATATGAAATAAACTGTAGATCAGTTGTTGCTTTACTAGAAACTGGATGTGCTGGGTTGGAGAGATCTTTTGGCTTATGAGTCTTCCAAACACTGTCTCAAAGTCACCTTACAGCAAATAGTTAAAAGATCTTGAGGAAGTGGCAGTAAATGTACGTGAAAACATTATGAATGAAGCAGCTGCTAGGCTTATAGAGATCATTGAGAGAGAAGAGCATACAGTGATTGAATTTGATAAACCATCCACTGGAATGAGTCCTTGCATGGTATGGTATGGGCATGATGTAAAAAAACCTGTCAGGTTTAGTGGTTAGAGATCAGTGATTTAGTGGAAAACGAAAAGTTACAATCACTGTTTGCCATTCTGTTGGAAATATCAATATTGGGCCATCATCAATTGCAGATGTTTTGAAGGCATTACAACTTAAATGTGGCCAAACAAACTTTAAATTATTTGAAAACTGTTGATAATAGAAGGCTAAATGATGCTGCAAGGAAGGTTTCACAGAAATACAAAGATCGGAGACAAAAATCACAAGCTGCCACCTTAAAAACATCACAGAAATACAAAGATCGGTGACAAAAATTTCAAGCAATAAAGAAGCGAAGACTTGATGTAGCTAGGAATAGCTATTTATCAAGGGCTTTTGGTCTTTCTGCAGAGCTTGAAAACATTTCTAAAAAGGTAGTTGATGCAAGTCTAAAAAGGAAAAGAGGGAATAAGGAAGGAAAGAAAAAGAGACCTAGAAAGTCGAGGGACCTGTCGAGTAATGAACATGGATATTTCAACCAGTTTGAACCCCCAGTTACCTTTATGATGCCTCTAAACATTATTATTGACTTCTTTTAACATTTTTGGTTGTATCTATGGGTACATTATGTGTGATAGACAACCAAAATTCAGTCAAGTTGCAAAAGATAAGAAAAATTAGTTATTCAGTACATCTCAAAACTTCAAATGCACTTTTCTCAAATCTCAAATACGGACATCTATTAAGCTTGTGATTAAGATATCTTTGGCTCTGTATAAGATATGAAGATGAAATTTTCAAATAATATGTATCTTTTAATGCTCTATGCAATAAATACATAGATTTTTGATAGAAGAAATATTTCACAAAATATTTTAGAAAACTCAACTTTTCACAATAAAATATCTAGCTGACTTGGTATCATAAAACTGTGTGTTCATTGAATAGATTATGTAAGTAGAAACTTGTTGCTAAAAAATTTTCACCATAACCTTTAGCATTCATGAGATATCATTTCCACAATTTGCAGAAGTTC